GCTATAGTAAACATGTGCCTTTCTAACTTCTAAAGCTATAGTAAACATGTGCATTTCTAACTTCTAAAGCTATAGTAAACATGTGCCTTTCTAACTTCTACAGCTATAGTAAACATGTGCCTTTCTAACATCTATAGCTATAGTAAACATGTGCCTTTCTAACTTCTAAAGATATAGTAAACATGTGTCTTTCTAACTTCTATAGCTATAGTAAACATGTGCCTTTCTAACTTCTACAGCTATAGTAAACATGTGCCTTTCTAACATCTATAGCTATAGTAAACATGTGCCTTTCTAACTTCTAAAGCTATAGTAAACATGTGCCTTTCTAACTTCTAAAGCTATAGTAAACATGTGCCTTTCTAACTTCTACAGCTATAGTAAACATGTGCCTTTCTAACATCTATAGCTATAGTAAACATGTGCCTTTCTAACTTCTAAAGATATAGTAAACATGTGTCTTTCTAACTTCTATAGCTATAGTAAACATGTGCCTTTCTAACTTCTACAGCTATAGTAAACATGTGCCTTTCTAACATCTATAGCTATAGTAAACATGTGCCTTTCTAACTTCTATAGCTATAGTAAACATGTGCCTTTCTAACTTCTAAAGCTATAGTAAACATGTGCCTTTCTAACTTCTATAGCTATAGTAAACATGTGCCTTTCTAACTTCTACAGCTATAGTAAACATGGACCTTTCTAACATCTATAGCTATAGTAAACATGTGCCTTTCTAACTTCTACAGCTATAGTAAACATGTGCCTTTCTAACATCTATAGCTATAGTAAACATGTGCCTTTCTAACTTCTACAGCTATAGTAAACATGTGCCTTTCTAACATCTATAGCTATAGTAAACATGTGCCTTTCTAACTTCTATAGCTATAGTAAACATGTGCCTTTCTAACTTCTAAAGCTATAGTAAACATGTGCCTTTCAAACTTCTATAGCTATAATAAACATGTGCCGTTCTAACTTCTATAGCTATAGTAAACATGTGCCTTTCTAACATCTATAGCTATAGTAAACATGTGCCTTTCTAACTTCTACAGCTATAGTAAACATGTGCCTTTCTAACTTCTACAGCTATAGTAAACATGTGCCTTTCTAACATCTATAGCTATAGTAAACATGTGCCTTTCTAACTTCTACAGCTATAGTAAACATGTGCCTTTCTAACTTCTAAAGATATAGTAAACATGTGTCTTTCTAACTTCTATAGCTATAGTAAAAATGTGTCTTTCTAACTTCTATAGCTATAGTAAACATGCGTCTTTCTAACTTCTATAGCTATAGTAAACATGTGCCTTTCTAACTTCTAAAGATATAGTAAACAAGATTTAAAGAATACAATTAGTATACACTTTAACCGGTTACACTTTAGATAAATGAACTATATTGCCTAAAAGTTCATTAATTGTTATCTTAAATATACAACTGACGTAAACTGGTATCAAAAATTTACTTTAAAAATTTAAGTTGAATTGTTTTTTTTTTTTTTTTTTTTTTTTAATATTTAGTTCATTCGTGTATAAAGGACTAATAATCATCGAAAAGGCGAAAATAATCGTAAAATCATATCAAATACACTTCTGATGAAATTATTTAACATTCTTGTTATTTCTATATATATCATGCAGCTTATTATTCATTTCGTCCCATATTCCTCAAAAAGAAAATCCAGAGTAAATTTTTTAGGCCAAAAGTTTAATTATGTCTCGAAACATGCACACGAAACCTGTCTCTGGTTTTTTCCCCAATAATTTTGATATGTTATTATCTACTGAAAAAAGGCGTTGTAAATTATTCTTGTCTTTCGTTTTTGCTAGTGTGCTTTGTCAATATGCTTTTTTGTTTTTCTTTGCTGACAAATTTGTTTGTTTTTATAATGATAAGATTATAAGACAATGTTGACTGCTGTACCCCTTTTTTAAAATTTTTACCTATTATGTTCGGTATTTTTGTTATTTTACTTTTTTAAATATTATTATTTTAAGGATGCATTCTTCTGACTTTCAGTCTCGTTGAAATCTCGTTCTGGAATTATTTCCAAAACACGTGATACAAGTGAAAAATATCAATGAATTTAAGAAATGTTATAATCAAACTTAACTCTGTTAAAAAATTGTGTATTTACAATAAGTGGTTTTTGAGTTATAAATTTTTCAAATTTTATTACCAATCAAGTCAGTCTTTTTAGCCAAAATTTTGAGAAAATGGGTAACGGGTACAAGAAATGATTTTACATGTACATCCCATATCACTTTTTTCTTTTCAAATTTCTTAGATATGTATTTTTTCAATCATTTATAACAAAGGAGTTGAAATAATATGCATTTTGATCTTAAAACAGAGAAAAATGACAAATTTACAAAATTGACAGTATGGTAAATTTGACACAAAAAAGCATCAAAATATGATAAAACTTTCTCATATTAACACCTACCTATAGTTGTTTTTAAGTTAAATTTATTCAGATTGGTCCATTTCATCTTTATTGAAAGTATGAAAAAAAATTTAATTGTGGAACTGTGATTTTTTTCACGATAATAGCCCATGAATGGTAAAAATGAATGAAAAATGGGAAAATCATCATAATTGGGTACTTTCAAAGGGCCGTAGCAAAAAAAAAGAAGCACACCACCATATGATTTTTTCTTCACCAATTGTTTTTTTACAGTCATATAAACCCAAAAATCAGGTTAAGAAAAAAGTTTAATTCTAGAAATAGAACCATGTTAATGATTGTTTTAATCTTAGATAACCGTTAAAGAGACTTCTTCATGATAATTTGATTATCGAAAAATTCCAAAACAAGACATAATCGATTCTTACCTGAAACTGAAATGCAAAACCTTGCGATGAAAAGGAGACAAATAGCCTGCATCCTTAGGGTTTCATGAGGTTTCATTGTGTAGTCTATTTCTTATTGTATTTAATATCACAAGTCCGAATCAAATCATGCTTGCGTTGTCTATATTTATATTTAATGTATAAAAGATGACAACTATGTTGTATCTTGACAGCAAATGGTCAGGCTGACAACCTCTTGATCGCCTGACCTTACCCATAATAAAAATCATCATTTGTAACAAAAGTCGGATTATTTTTGATTTACAGCGACAATCATCTGAATATACAGACCATGCACATCATTCTCAGCTTGTATTTTATTGAAATGAATTGATTTAGAATGCAATTTGATTGTTGACGTGTTTTTTTTCTCACAATATTTGATTCGTTCGTGTATAAAGGTATAACAATCATCGAAAAGGCGAAAACGATCGTAACATCATCCAAAATACACTTTTGAACCATGCCGACCATGTTTATCATTCTAAAGTTGTATTTTATTCAAGTGAACTCATTTAGAATACAGTTTTATTGCATTAAAAAATAAGATCAAGTAGCAAGTATATCTTTGATGGCACAATGAAAATAAAGGAATATTTTTTTGTAAAATTGGTGTTTATCTAAATCCGGTAACTTTTGACACTCACTCAAGAACAAATTAACCTCTTGATTTCATTTGATTTATCTGTGTCCCTGTCTTACCTTCTGATTTACGTCTACCCCAAAATCCCCTTTCAACCATAACATAGACTTCATATGTTTTAACCTATTGCTGTTTATAATATTTAATATTTTATTACAGTATAAAGGCCAGTATCGTGATATTATCCGTTGTCATAATTGCTTATTTAGTTTAAAAATATGAAAAATAAATGAGGAAATATGGTTAAACCGCGACTTTCACGAAATAAAACTAAACCGTAAGCGTATTAATCAAAATGATAGGTAAATCTTCCACAATAACTGAACGTGCATTGAAAAAAAAACTCACAACACACAGAAAATGTTGAAAAAACTCGCATCACAGGAAATGTGCAGCACGATTCTTTGATTACAAACCAATAAGCATCAATAATCAATCGTTCAACTTAGAATTGGTATGGTTAGGGAAGTTAACCAATTAGAATTGTATGTCGTTCTAGAATATATATTACACATGATAAAAGTTAATGTGTCATTTGTTGTGTTGTTCCATCACTTAGAGGTGTTTAGCAAGCACAGACATGTTTAACCCCGATACATTCTGTATGTTGCTATCGATTATAACAGTCAGGAACCTATAATTAAGTGGTCGCTGATTCCTGTCTGCAAAAGTTGTTAGCCATTTATTACAGTTTAAGCACCAATCTTGGTTTGTACTCTTTTGAGTTTTTTCCAATTTTGTTATACCGGGGAATTTTATATTTACTAGTATAACATACCTCGTTATTTTAGTAGTATAGATACGCTATTGGTTTTGCCCATTGTTGAAGGCCATACGGTGACCTATAGCTGTTTACATAATCGTCCAATAGTCTCTGGTGGAGCGTCTCAATGACAGTTATGTATGTTCAGTCTCCTTATTTCTATATCATACGTCAAAGATTCCTCAACTTAATCAGTAAGATCCTATCATTCAATAACCCTTGGTTTATGAATAAGCCTTTTAATTTTCGAAATATATTTATATATTTGAGACAAAGATAGTGTCCCATAATGTAATATACCGTTATTGTTTACAATCAATAAATATTATAAAGAACAACAAAAAAAATACTGAGGAGGAAAAAGAAACGTGTAGATAACAACGTGGGCAAAAAGAAAAATGACAAACAAGTGCACAAACACTACAAAGAAAACGAAAGATCCAGATACATTTTTTAACATGTACCCCAACGAAAATTGAGGGTGAGCTCAGGTGCTCCGGATGGGTAGGCGGCTCCTTCTCTTCTATGAGTATTACAATAAAATACCATATCTTATATCTGAAAAATATATATATCTTCAAAACTCAATGGTGTACACAAAAAGATGATTCAACGGAAAGGACGATGACAGATTAGAATTTTGTACATTTATGAAAAATACATAAATTGTTGTGTCATTTCTAAAAATAAAAAAAGGATTGGGAAGATATATTTTAATTTATTTATAGAATTCGTACATCAAGTTTTCCTGTCTAAATACTTGTTTTTATGAAAGAGGTAAGTTGAATGCACACAGACGAAAGGTTTGACGGCCATCTCTCTCACCAATCATAAAACAGGTAAGTTGAATGCACACAGACGAAAGGTTTGACGGACATCTCTCTCACCAATCATGAAACAGGTAATTTGAAAGCACACAGACGAAAGGTTTAACGGCCATCTCTCTCACCAATCATGAAACAGGTAAGTTGAATACACACAGACGAAATGTTTGACGGCCATCTCTCTCACCAATCATGAAACAGGTAAGTTGAATGCACACAGACGAAAGGTTTGACGGACATCTCTCTCACCAATCATGAAACAGGTAAGTTGAATGCACACAGACGAAAGGTTTGACGGACATCTCTCTCACAAATCATGAAACAGGTAAGTTGAATGCACACAGACGAAAGGTTTGACGGACATCTCTCTTGTAATGAAGTTGATTAAATAATTTTATTATGTAATTACAAAGTCAAGAAAGATTCTAAAGTTCAAATGTTCGAATGTTCATAAAGTGTCTCTAAAGTTCAATTGTTTGAAAGTTCAGTAAATCGTCACACGGACACGTGATCGTATAGTGGTATAACTGTTCGGTCCTGACTGAGTAATTCGGATGGTTAGTGAATTAATTCCAGCCTACCCACAAGGGGGAGACCTTGGCGGAATCTCCTGTCGGAATCCATCTGTACGAATCTATCCCCGTTCGAGTCCAAAGCTGGATCTTATATAGTTCAGTGGGCCATTAATCATCTTTAAACTATGGCCCATAGCTGTTGGCAGGTTGCGTAGTAGTCTGGATGTTGAATTATACTAGTCTGAGGTTAATTGTCAAACAATGCAATTAACCTCTGCATTATACATGTTATTTAACAGTGGACATTGTCATTTACTGGCTGCAGGGTATATGTCTATAATATTCGTACACATTGTTATTAAGTGTCTAAAGGGTAAATGTATTTGTTTCAGTTATGCTATATTTGATTACACCTTGATAATTATTGTTATAAAACACATTGTGTTACAAATGCCTTTCATCCAAATAGAACGAAAGTTCGGTAAAATACGATAGTTTTTCTTCCTGTAGGTTATTATAAATTCTGTAGTTCCTTGTTAAGTCTTCTGTAACCATCACCACATATATAGTTCATAAAATTCGGCAAATCCAACATCTGGATACATAGAGTTCACATGATTCATAAAGTTCAAGATTTGGGTATATATTGTGCATACTTTTCCCCGTCACCATTATAGCATATTGTTCATCAACTGCTGGAAAGGGCACACATCTTTGTACACGTGTCAGTCATCATCATTTCCATTACGAAGTAGTTGACGCATCTAGCTGGTTGGTTCATCCTTCTTAAGAGGCTGTTAACATCGGCCTTCGGTTAAGTTTTGTCCTTGATCAATGGCGCAGAGGAAGACATCTCTCTGGAATCAGTAACATCTGTCCCAACCAATCACGTAGACACCATTTTGTACCCATTGTTCGTGGCATTAGAACCAAAACTCACACCTTCTTTTTGGCCAACCAAGATATATTCTGAACAAATTAACAGTACAAAAATATGGCTATTCCAATGAAGATCGCACCTAAACCCCACTGATAAACTTATCTCAATTTGGAAAAACTTAAACTTGTTAACTTCTTTTTTATTTATCAATCGTTTGTTCAATCGCCTTTAGTTCACTGGGTTATTCAAGCCTAGCAAAATTTAATAAAACAATTTCTCGGTAAAATCAATACGTTCTTTTAAATATCGAATTATCTGATTAAAAAAAAAACAAAAGAGGGGAAAAAAAAACTGTCGTATACAACTTCTACAATTTTGAGAATCCTACATGATAAAAACAAAGATACGTTTATTTACATAAGACATGAGAAACATATTTACAAATCTACAATCAAATAAGTTTAATTCGATCATTCTATATAACCCCTACACCTACATGATACCTATAAAAAAAATTTACTAAAAATTATATGTGTTACTTTGTAACCAATTGTAATACTTTTACGTCTTTAACTTTAGTTTCTCATTAATTAATCTTAATGCTAAATGTAGTCCACAAATTTATTCAGGCTCATCACTCTTAAAAATATTTAAGATTACATTGATAAAATTTTAACTACGCCTTGTGCAATTTGTTACTGACTCTATATTTCCTATTTGACAACAACACCTTGTTGCGAAAAAAAATGTCTTTCTCCGTAATCGTTTACATTTCCAAAAAATGTATATAGTTTCCTCATCATAGTCTTTCCTTTCTTTTTTTTATATATATATTTTTAATTTGCTTTAAAACATCAGCAACCTACTGCCTATCCTTTTTATACATTTCATTATGATTGAATGTTTTTATTCATTCTATTTTTTTTTTAAACTTGACTTACTTCTTAAAAACCAAAACAATTTAAAGTTTGTTCTATGCTTATTTATGAACAAAGCCCATTGTTTAGACTCATTTTTTGTTTTACTACTAAATTAATTATTTTCTTATTCTTATTTTAATTTCTGATAATTATCCTCATAATTGTAAAAAGAAATCAATTTTATTTTAATGCTAGTTTTCCTTTAATATCAATTATCTATTTCACTTAGATTTTGTCATTAGTCATGAAGTTCATATGTCTCTCATTTTTTTACAAATATCGATCTACCACAAAAATATTGTAAATCCCTTAGGGCAAAACATATCAACATTTATCTTTAATGTGCTATTTTCTGAAGATACTTCTCTTTATCTATTAACATTTATGTTATGTAAATAAGGCGTAATCTAACACCATAAAACAACTTGCACCATTTAATTACTTAACATCACTTATTTTAATCTTCCGAAGAAGGGGTTGGAATCTAAAATTATAGACTATTTGTTTTCTCTAAACAAATGTGCGTAAACACTACCCAACTGCGTAAACCATAATCGTCAATGGCTATAACATCGCAAACATATGAACCACAATGTACCCTTAACTTCAATTACCAAAGGTTCTAATTCAACCTTCATATATACCGGTGCTCTACTAATTTTACGTAAAACATATGTTTTCTAGAATAATTGAGTGTATCTTCCAAAAAAAAAAAAAAAAAACCCATAATATGACCAAAAACCACCATTGAATACGGGGGAAAATGCTTTAGTATCAGACATTTTATATTTTTTTTTTCCATACATATTTACTTTAAACGAAAAACTAGCTTCAAACTTTAAAAAAAAAAGTTTTACTTTTTTAAGAATCATATATTTGATTTATCCTATCTATTGAATAACAGCAAATAAAAAATTACACCAAAAATAACCTTTAATTCTGATAAAAAAAAAGTGTATTCTTAATTTTTAAATTGACCTATAATACCGTAAAATACCTAATAAAAAGTTTCATGTGAACCACTTCTCGTGAACAAACGGCTGATTTTAAGCCTTTTAAATATACGGCCTTACTCCCTTTAAAATTAAAAATTGTACTTAACATGTGTGCCATCCCTTGAAAAGCCATTTCTAATTTTTGTACTGACATAGAAATATCTTGATTGTCCATAAAGAAAAAATGAAAGTAACTTAGGTCTTACGTTTTATATTCCTTTGCGTTGTTTTAGCCAACCCAAGTCGATCCTGGTCACACGGCATCAACTTGACTTATGTAATGAAGTCAGTGGTTGATTAAATAATTGTATTATGTAATTACAAAGTCAAGAAAGATTCTAAAGTTCAAATGTTCGAATGTTCATAAAGTGTCTCTAAAGTTCAATTGTTTGAAAGTTCAGTAAATCGTCACACGGACACGTGATCGTATAGTGGTATAACTGTTCGGTCCTGACTGAGTAATTCGGATGGTTAGTGAATTAATTCCAGCCTACCCACAAGGGGGAGACCTTGGCGGAATCTCCTGTCGGAATCCATCTGTACGAATCTATCCCCGTTCGAGTCCAAAGCTGGATCTTATATAGTTCAGTGGGCCATTAATCATCTTTAAACTATGGCCCATAGCTGTTGGCAGGTTGCGTAGTAGTCTGAATGTTGAATAATACTAGTCTGAGGTTAATTGTCAAACAATGCAATTAACCTCTGCAGGATACATGTTATTTAACAGTGGACATTGTCATTTACTGGCTGCAGGGTATATGTCTATAATATTCGTACACATTGTTATTAAGTGTCTAAAGGGTAAATGTATTTGTTTCAGTTATGCTATATTTGATTACACCTTGATAATTATTGTTATGAAACACATTGTGTTACACTCTCACCAATCATGAAACAGGTAAGTTGAATGCACACAGACGAAAGGTTTGACGGCCATCTCTCTCACCACTGATGAAATTAATAGGGCATATAAGCCGATGGATGTTGGTTTTTTTTCTCTTGTAACTAAGTTAAATAAAAATGCCAACGGGAATATAAAATCGGAAAATTAGATGGTAATTTTCCGTTTGCCGAAAAGATAAATATGATACTTCTAAAGAAACTAAGGTTTCAATTCATTTAAGCAAAGATGACCTTAGAAGGATTTGGTTATTTTATAAGTTCTTTCTGGTCATATAGCTCTTCAACTGTTTCGGTTCTTGTTATACATCCTTGGCTTTCAAATATTCGGCTTTGAGCGTTCTTGATGATGGTTTATCCAGAAAAGCGCTTCTGACGCATGCAATTTATAAAGTGTTGTTTTCCATTTCTAAACTGTCCTCTTTGAAACAAGGTCGTAGCACCAATATTGATAGATGTATCATGATCGTGCCCATGAACACTTTAAATGTCAAACACCATTCACTGTAATCAAACGTATTTAACTTGAGAGATACTATTAAGTGATTGTAAATGACCTTCCCCTAATTGTCATCATGTTGAATATTTTCACCTCCAACAAGAGATCAGAGCTTTTATAATAGTTTTAGCTACATACTATGACCTTTCCCTAATTGTCATCAACTTGAATATTTTATTACGAACAAAAGATCAGTGCCAACTAAGGTATCAAGCAGACTAACAATGGTATCGAAACTTTGTGTTGCATTTTACGTTATTTTGATATTGGCAGCATTTGTGCAGTCATTACCAATGACAGGTTAGTTATTGACTTATAAGACAAATATTCGTATTGATTTAATGAAAAACGTCTGTTTTACGATTTTGTTTTTTTAAATTGTCTGTGTTACTATTAATATTTTGAAAATCCCCATCTGATAAAACATTTATTTGTTACATTAATTATTAATATATTTAGCCTTTTTAGAATTTCACATGTGCATTAACAAGTTCTAAATCGTGCTGAATCGACAATAGCAATGCGATTTATTTTTTATATTGTAGTAAATTATTCATGGTAGATTTGAAGGTTTACTACTTATTTTGGGCACTTTTTTTCTTTCCTGATAATCATAAGCCATAAAGTCTTTAAGCTACGAACGTACTGGATGAGATATGATAATGACAATTGTTTTATACTTAATATTATACATGGGTACTTTCTAATACATCTTTCCCATATCTTTACATTTCTTTATAACAAGATATAACTCATGAAAAGTCTTCCTTTTAAATCAACGAGATCCCCTTTTTTGATATATCAATTGTTGATTTCAAGATGAACTTGTTTTGTGCTGGAGTCAATATTCCATGTTGACAAAAAAAATGTCAAATTTGAACTGAGAAATGTCAATTTTGAACTGACAAATATCAACTTGGAACTAAGAAATGTCAACTCAGAACTGAAAATTTTCAACTTGGACATGAAATGTCAACTTGGAAAATTAATAATGTCAAAATGAAAATGAGAAATGTTCAAAACAGAATGTCGCTACCGGTCTTTTGTAAATGCCAGTTTCATTTTGTGTCTCTCTTTTTACACATCACTTCTGTGTTGACAGGAATTATAAATGATAAGGTCATAATTATAAATTAAAAGAGGGACGAAAGATACCAGAGGGGCAGTCAAACTCATAGATCGAAAACAAACTGACAACGCCATGGCCAAAAATAAAAAGACAAACAGACAAATAATAGTACAGATTAACTGTTTACACAACTTTGAATTTTTCGAAATACCCGAGGATTTTCTACCCCATGAATAGATTATCTTATCTGTATTTGGCAAAACCTTTCAGACTTTTGGGTCCTCAATACTCTTCAACTTCGTACTTTATTTGGCCTTTTTAACATTTTTTATTCGAGCGTCACTAATGAGTCTTTTGTTAACGAAAGAAAATGTTAATCCTAATATCTGTGATGAGTTTACACAGGCAAATTTCACTCAAGTGAATTTAAGTTCATGCGAATCTTATGTGAAAATCATATGGATTTCACCACAAACGAGCTTATACGTGAAACTCACGTGAACTGATTTCACATGAGTTTTATGTGAATCTAACATGAAACTCACTTGAAAATCGCATGCATTTTTTTCATTTGAAATTCACGTGAATTTTCAAAATAAAGTTATTCAAATAACATCTAAATTTTCAAATTTAATTAAAAACATGAAAAATACCGAAAATGTATTTGTAAAGTTCATATGAAATTCACCTGAAAAATTTCACATTAGATTCATGTGAATCCCAATTCACGTGAAATTCATTTGAAAATTTTCATTTGAGTTTCACGTACTAGCTCGTTTGAGGTGAATTTCACTTGAGCAAAATTCGTGTGAATTAACATGTTCGTGTTTGGGGACTATTGAAATATTATACTGTAATTGCAGGTAAGACCAAACGAGGAGGTTTATCGACGGTTGAACTCAATAAAAAGAGAGCAACAAACTTTTTGCATAGAGAACGCAGAGAATCCTGGAGAGGATGGTTTTCAAATGAATTTGATGAACAAGAGGAGAATGATGATCTTGAAGAATGGAATCCATTTGAATTTAAGAAGAGAACACTATAAAGAAATATGAAATTTGATTAAATATTCCTAAAATATTATTATATGCATTCATTATTTGCCTTTACTTGTGTAAAAGTAAAAGAATAGAAAAAAAAATAATTAGATATTTAAACACAAGCAATCTTCGAATACAAAGTTTGCATTTTTCCCACGGTTGTCACTTAATCCTTATAAAATTATTTAACTGTTATTGAAGTAAATTCAATATTAATGTAAAATAGAAAGACATGTAGATCAGTTTAATGTAAAAATAAGGAGATATGGTATGATTGTAATGAGACAACTATACACCAAAGTTCAAATGAAGTGGATGTAAGCAATTATAGGCAACCGTACGGCCTTCAACAATGAGAAAAACCAATACCGTATAGTCGGCTATAAAAGGCCCCTAAATAAGAAAAAATATGAAACAATTCAATTGAGAAAACTAACGGCCTAATTCATAACAAAACAATTTACGAAAAACAAATATGACCGACATGAACCAATGAACTGGATTACAGGCCCCTGACTAAAGACAGACACATATAGAATGTGGCAGGGTTAAACATGTTTAAAGGCGCCAATCCTTCCCTTAACATTGGACTTTATTTTTCGGAATTTTCCATCAAACATGAATGTATTCAACTATCGTAGTGGTTGATTGCAGTAGAACACATATTGTGACAACAAATCTTGATGTAAAGTTTAACCAATGTCGATGAAGTATGAAATTAAAAGCATAGCGACCTACTTTTGATGGGATCATAGTAGACAACAAAAAATACAGCCCGATATAGATCCATCATATTGTTGTTTAGTCCTTAGTTTTCTGTGTGGTGTTTTGTAGACATTTGTTTGTTTTTTCGCCATTTTTCTCTTTGGCCATGGTATCGTGTGATCTTCTTCGATTAACAATGTAGGGATTTTTATTGCCCCTTTCGTATCATCTGCCTTTTTTATTACAAATTATATTTTTACATCTCACACATCTTCTATGAGCACTACTCTAAAATTAAACTTAAAAGTAAGTTACGTAGGGCGAGGTGTACACAAAAATTTTGACGAAAGGTTGTTATAATCACCTGAATTCATTCATACCTAATAGTATATGTATGTCACTTAATTGGTACCCGAGACTTTAGGGCTAGTCACAGAATCGTGAAATTTATGTCAAAGTGAATTGATTTTAGATTTTGTTTGTAATCACATTTGACTATAGTTAAGTCCGTTCTTGTTTTAATTAGTTTGCGTCAAATCAAATTTAAAAGAACCTACCAACCAGCAAGGAATAAAAACATACACCAAAAACTTACATAATTAACATCACCAGTTTGATGCTTATTATTTACCTTAACATTATCACGAAAAGGAGGAGGTATGATAAGAACCATTATTTGACACTTGTAGTTGAAAAATTAGAAAAAAAATGTTTCAAATATTTAAAAAAATTGTTACTTGTTTTGTAGATAAATGAACAGGCGGATTTAATCCCATAATCACATAAAGGTCACTTGTGGTGTCGCTAAGATTCATCTTGTAGCAAAAAGTCTCTTTGGGAAATCCCTGGCTCATATCTGAATGTTTATTATAAGATTTCAATGACAACTTTTTTGGCAGTTTTTAAAGTTTTGCATACAACGCAAGAAGTTCGAAGCCCTGGTGTAATTATGTAAGACAATATTAGAAAATAGAAAATACTGACGGTTGACATTATAATGTCTTATGAACATCTGAAGTATGTCATTTATCTAATTTATACAATTTATTTACAGAAAAAAATCACCAGTTTAAAATTGCTTGATGCAATTAAGTCGTGTTTAATTTGGCCCTTAATATATTTGATTTTAGCGCCACTGATGAGTCTTATGTAGACGTAACTCGCGTCTGACATAATAAATTATAAGCCTAACTTCCAAATCAAATATGTGTATCTTTGAAGGAATCGAGGTAGCGTGATCGCTTTGTGTGCTGGAGGTCATGTGTTCGATCCCCGGTTGGGTAAACGAAAGACCTGAAAATTGGTATTTGCTGCTTCTCCGCTAATCAGCATTTAGGAATAATAGCAAAGACTGGTCGGTTCGTAGTCAGAATAACATGTCGTCATCATCATCATCATCATCATCATCATCATCATCATCATCATCATCATCATCATCATCATCATCATCATCATCATCATCATCATCATCATCGATTAACAGTAGGCATCGACATATTCATATGCGGGTTCTTGTGTATTAGCTGTTAACTGGGCATTGCAATCATGACTGATGGTGACCTCTAGACTTCCTCTCAGGTTTGGCATTACATGTACCAGGTACTGTAACATGAACGGAGCATATGATAATCAGTTTAATCAACTCGAAACAGAGACAAGACTGTAGTCCCAAGATAGGGGTCCCTTGATATCAACGACATACACTTCTACAACTTGTGAAATTCGACAAACTTTACAAGACAAACGACAGACACCAAGTGAGCACCATAAACCACCATTGGAAGCTGTCAGTTAACGCTTTGGAATTTGTAAAATGCCAAGGATGTCCGATTTGTCATACATTTTTTTCAGTTAAATTATTGGTGTGTGAAGCAATATCAAGTTTGAACTCAGCTGGGACAAACTGTGGACCTACATGTATTTTAGCAAACGTCTGATCATTTTGACTTTGGTAAAATGATTCCATATTATGGGGTAACATATGTTTAAATTGTTCTTTTGATTATTCAAAACTCTAACTAATCTGAATTGCTTTTTCTAGAGTAAATTTTTCACCTTCATTAATGAGTCTCTCTCTTTCAACTTGGACGAAGATGTACCAAAAACAATGTGATCCCTAGCCATCCCGTTGGGGTCTTTGTAATAGCAGTTTGTTTACTAGATTCAAATTCGTACTTTATTTTGCCTTTTAATTTTTTTTATTCGAGCGTCACTAATGAGTTTATTGCACACGAAATGCGCGTTTGTATACAAAATAATAATCCTGGTATCTTTGATGAGTTTGTACATGAAGTTTTAGACGAGTCACACATTGTTCAGTATAATCATTGTTCTAGATACTGTTATTGCATTTGAGTCATGTAAAAATAGGGTTTAGTCTTGGCTGCACGTACTCTTTAAATTTATTGTAATAAGTGTCCAACTTTTTTGCATTTTCATCGGAAGTATCGGCCATTTATTATAAAAGTCCCTTCCTGTATCTCCGTCACAAAGAAGGATTTACTTGCATTTTATATTTTCCTCCTTGCCCGCTAATGGTCCATTGAAAATCAGTTCAAGTGTTGACGAAATTGATTTCCATGCGTCGGAAAGGTTTGAACTATCCCAGTCCATTTACGGAGGTGAAATGCCTGCCAAATCCATTTTGTTGACAGAATTCACTCATTTGCTTTTATATCTGACACCATGTAACGTTTTGTGCATGGTAGGCAGTTGGCTGCATGAACTAGAAGTAAGCATGTGTGCTAACGTGTATTCATTTAAAAAGTTTAGGTCAACAAGAGGACCGGTAAACTAACAATTTTAAGGGAGACAATACAATATTCAATATTACATTTTGAAACTGCATTTCAATCCTTAACTTAAAAAAAGATTTTAAAAAAATGCAACCATTACCTCGACCCATATGTATGATTATAGGGTACATGTTTTGTTCATTGTTGAAGATCTAACAGTTACCTGTATTTTATCATAGGGGAGGATTTTGTTCACTGTTGAAGATCGAACAGTTACTTGTAGTTTATTATAGGTACAGGTTGCGTTCATTGTTGAAGGTCAAACGGTTACCTGTACATGTTTATCATAGGGGATGTTTTTGTTTATTGTTGAAGGTAAAACAAATACCTGTAGTTGCATATAATATGATATGGATTATATTCATTGTTAAAGGTCGAACGGTTATATGTAGTTGTTTATATGTTTGTCACGGGTTCAATTGTTGCTTAAGGTTTCTTTGTTGCATTTCTGTCAGGTAAGCGATTCAGGTTCTCCAGAGCCTCTATTTTGATGAACTTATAACTTTCTATATTTAAATTTGATCCTTTAAATTATCATGTTTTGTGTTCTTATTGTTCAATTTATAGTTTCTTGAAGTTTTAATGCTCTTAAAAGGGAAATATTTCACTTTGCATTCGTATTTCGTATGTGCCAGGGACTGTTGTATGAAATTGGCGTATCAGTTTTAATAACTCTAAACTGAGACTCTCGTCCTAAGATAGGGGATCTCATAGTATAAACAACATAAAATTCTACATCCTTTGCATTCTAGCGTAACTGAATTTTTTTTTCTAGTAACACATGTTGTGCAAATCGTCATCATGCCTCTGCTATTGGTTGATCGCCATCATGCCTCTGCTATTGTTGATCGTCATCATGCCTCTGCTATTGGTTGATCGCCATCATGCCTCTGCTATTGGTTGATCGTCATCATGCCTCTGCTATTGGTTGATCGTCATCATGCCTCTGCTATTGGTTGATCGTCATCATGCCTCTGCTATTGGTTGATCACGCATCACAAAAAAAAAGAGACAGAAGATACCAGAGGGACAATCTAAATACAAATTCGAAGATAAACCAACAAAACTATAAGATCGGCAAGAGGAAGACAGACACACATTCGACCGAAAAGTTTTGAAATCGCCTAAGGTAAAAAACCTAAACAGTTAGAATAAGGGTAGTAATGTAACCTGCTATGGGAGCATCACCAAGCTGTGATTCATAAGACATATCAAGTAGAAAATGTCATAGCTATGGACAAATATAGCGATAACATCAAGAATAATTTCAATGCAGAATCTGCGAAGGATTAAATATGAACATTGATAGTTGAAGCAGTCTACAATGTGCGGGTCGATAAAGCGAAGTAGAAGAAGCTGGACCAGTTGTTAAGCAGTCTAATTCAAAAATTCCACAGCGTTTTAAAAAGCCAATGCTGAAGTAAAAAGTAAAATACCGAACTTCAAGGAAAATTCAAATCGGAAAGTCCCTTATCAAATGGCAAAATCAAAAGCTCAAACACATCAAACGAATGGAAAACAACTGTTATATTCCTGACTTGGTACAGGCATTTCCTCATGTAGAAAATGGTGGATTAAACCTGGTTTTATAGCTAGCTAAACCTCTCACTTGTATAACAGTCGCATAAAATTCCATTATATTGACAACAATGTGTGAACAAAACATACAGACATAATTGGTAAAAATGTCAAAAATAGGGGTACAGCTCGAATCAAAACAGTTGATAAGCCACATTAAAAGCAAAGTTGGAGAGCATTAATAACCGAAAATTCAGAAAAGCAGTAGATATTGTTAGATGAAAGATAAAAAGTATTAACAGTCTTTTAAGTAATTTATTGAACAACATAACTATCTGCATCAATCCTATGAAGTTTACAGAAATTTTGACGTCAAGTTACAAAAAAACAAAAAAAAAAAACAAGACGGACATATAATCTGAAAATGACATAAAATGAAAAACAAACATTAAACCAAAGTAATGTATAATTAAAACTCCAATGGTAAATCAAAAATGATATAAAATTCCTCACACAAGGCTACATTTCCGGCTTCGTATTTGAGTGATATTTAGTTTGGTTCTAATTAGGCAAGATATTTTATGTTTAAGGTTTCAATTTAGCAAACACGATGAACCAATTCAAGATATGTTATCCAGAAACGCAAATCAGATGTAAGCACATGCAATTCGTATATTGACCTCCAGATGTTTTAGGATTTTTTGGCGTATGATCTTTTCAATATCTGCAAATTTACTGTTTAGAAAATGTTGCTCAGGTTTTTCTATCCAACGTATAGATTGCTTTATCCGTATTTTGCAAAAGTTTCCTAAAGTTTTTGTTTAATGATCTTCCATTTTGTTTTTGAGTTGGCCTTACAACCGTTTTGATTTGAGCGCCATTTATATTTCTTATGTAGACGCTAGTCTGACGTACCAAGCTTTGTATCTTCGAAGAGTTGTTAGCTGCTGTCCTTTTTTTAATTACTTTTGACCCTCAATGCAAAAATCCTTTTATTCATATCCAACTTAGATCACTTCCAATGTGTTAATATTATTATATTATTTACATGTAGCATCGCTTTTATATTAATGGCGTAATCTCATTCCTAACTAATTTGTTTCGTCGTACATATATCTGGATATGAATCAGGAATACCAAATATAAAAACGACACGTCGAAACAAAACAAAAGGAAAAAAATCAATAGAGCCAATTAGCAATCATAAGAGGAAGAAGTATAAGTGAAATGAAATGGGTAATAGTATATTCGAAGAAAAAAAAACCTGTTTTGACACTAAATGGTTTATTCTACTTCAGTAAAATGATGTAACGTAACATGATCAAGCAAAATTAAATATGTATTGTTACTTTTAGCTTCTATATTACTAGCATTGCATTTCATACAGGCATTCTATCCTGGAATACCTTATAAGTAAATACCAGTGTGTATGAAATAACATCAAGTACGTCATACAAAGAACAATTTACCTATAAAAATGTCTCTTAATGGTTATTTGTGACTTTGTTTGATGCTTATATAAAACTTCATAAATATACAAAAGATTGTAAGTTCCATTTCATGGAATATTTCTTCGAATTGTATAAACTATGTTTCCAATCATTGTTCTTACAGATTTAATATTGGTATAATTTATTAATGTCAATCCTTTTGAAAATTGTAACCATGTAATTTGTCTGCATATTATCTAAAACTACTTGTAATATTTATATTCCGGAGTCATCATTGTAATGTTTTATATTTTGGAGTCATCATTGTAATATTTTATATTTCGGAGTCATCATTGTAATGTGTTATAGTTTGGAGTCAACATTGAAGTGTTTTATATTTCTGAGTCATCATTGTAATGTTTTATATTTCGGAGTCATCATTGTAATGTTTTATATTTCAGAGTCATCATTGTAATGTTTTATATTTCGGAATGATCATTGTAATGTGTTATAGTTTGGAGTCAACATTGTAGTGTTTTATATTTCGGAGTCATCATTGTAATGTTTTATATTTCGGAGTCATCATTGTAATGTTTTATATTTCAGAGTCATCATTGTAATGTTTTATATTTCGGAGTCATCATTGTAATGTTTAATATTTCGGAGTCATCATTGTAATGTGTTATAGTTTGGAGTCAACATTGTAGTGTTTTATATTTCGGAGTCATCATTGTAATGTTTTATATTTCGGAGTCATCATTGTAATGTTTTATATTTCGGAGTCATCATTGTAATGTTTTATATTTCGGAGTCATCATTGTAATGTTTTTATATATAAAATTTGTAACTAACATTAAATAATATGCAAAATGATCCAAACAAGAGTACAACAATCTTTTCATTTTGTTGTGTCTAGGAGAAATGTCATTGTAATGTGTTATAGTTTGGAGTCAACATTGTAGTGTTTTATATTTCGGAGTCATCATTGTAATGTTTTATATTTCGGAGTCATCATTGTAATGTTTTTATATATAAAATTTGTAACTAACATTAAATAATATGCAAAATGATCCAAACAAGAGTAAAACAATTTTTTCATTTTGTTGTGTCTAGGAGAAATGTCATTGTAATGTGTTATAGTTTGGAGTCAACATTGTAGTGTTTTATATTTCGGAGTCATCATTGTAATGTTTTATATTTCGGAGTCATCGTTGTAATGTTTTATATTTCGGAGTCATCATTGTAATGTTTTATATTTCGGAGTCATCATTGTAATGTTTTTATATATAAAATTTGTAACTAACATTAAATAATATGCAAAATGATCCAAACAAGAGTAAAACAATCTTTTCATTTTGTTGTGTCTAGGAGAAACAATTCTTTCCTACCAGATTTTTTTCGATTTTTTTTCAGAGGTCTAACATATTCTGATTCGTCATCGCTGGTTTCATAATCGTTAAACATATATTTTGTTTTCTTATGTGGTCTATTGAGAAGTACACGACCTGACAATTTAAAATGAAGTCTTCTTTTGCTATCTGAACGATTTGGTTCATTAAGAATCCGATTACCCCTTCTCGTTGTTTTTAGTCTAAGTCTCATATTGCCGTTGTCGTCATTGTCTGAGTTATCATCATATTGTTTGGCAAACGAATGCCTTCTCCGAATCTCATTTCTGGCAACAGCTGCACCAGTGCCTATTGGTGTCAGCTGTGTTTTGGCTTTACTTTCATACTCATCTGAATCATCATAGTATTCCCAACCATCGCTTTCCCAGGAAGAATCACTCTCCCAGCTATAATCGTTACCACGTCTTAACCTATAAGATTTAGAATCTTTTCTTTCGTGATCGGTTTTAACAGTAGGCGAAGATTTATCTGTTAATCTCGGTTTGACAACCCTGACATTCTTTGATGTACGACGAGGTTCACTGCTATCTTCCCAGCTGTCGCTATACCAACTATCATCATCGTCAGGCCTACGATGATATATTAGATTAGATTTAAGTTTTGATTTAACGCTCGTCGGTTTGCTTAATCTTTTCCGATCATATTCTGAATCTTCCCAGTATCCGCTATCGGAGTCGTCCCAGCTGTCACTACTGTCATATGTTACTGCCCAATCATGAAATTTAGATAGACTTTTCTTATCATCATCTTTATAATTATCAACCCCATCTGAATAATCGTACTCTGTACTATCGCTGCTAGAATATTCCGTTCTGCTCCTTCTAACGTGTTTTCTTAAAACAGTGGGTTGTTCAACTTTAGTTTGTTTTTCGTCTGTCAATTTGGTTTTAACTGGTTTAAACAGATTATCTGTGTTACCACTGTCACTGTCCTCAAAAGAATCCCAAAACGAATCATCGCTACTTGATTCATAATTTACCCTCTTTTTAATCCTATTTTTTCTTTTGTCCCCTTCTTCGTTCAAAACCTGTTCTTTGCGTGTGTCATGTTTATCGGCACTTGTATCTTCATTTGTGTATAATTCACTATCCCAATCGCTGCTATCACTTTCAAATTTGTCTGCTTTCTTTAGAATATGATACGGTCTGACGGGTATAATTGATACATCTCCTGCTTTCACTTTCCTTTGCCTATCTTCTGACAGAAAATTTCTTTCCAACGAATCACTATCCCAGCTGTTGAACTCCCAGCTGTCGCTTTCCCACCAGTCTTCATCTTCATCCCTTGCAGATTTTCTTCTATGGTCTTGGCGTTTTTCAAAACCTTCTTTTGATTCCCTAGGTTCAACTTCTTCTCGTTCTCTCCCTTCTTGTTGCCTTGGTTTCCTAGTTTTACCGACTTCTGTTTCGTCTCGAGGTGTGGTTGTTACGTCCAGTTCATCAACTGGAGTAATCCGTGTTTCCTCTTGTTCCTGTTCATTTGTAACAGGACTAAATGTAGTTTCCACATCTGTTGGGATTGCTGGGGTAGTTGGAGGTGTTGTTGGTATTGTTTCTTCATCATTTCCAGTAGAGAAAGTATCAGGTTGCGTACTGGTTTCGTCAGTACCTTGTTGCTGGCCAGTTTGATCATCAAAATTCGTCTGTGGACTGGTTTGAAACGCTTCAGTGCTTGTAGTGGTTTGATCAATACCAATTTGTGATCCAGTTTGTTCATTTCCAACCGGGAAACTGCTTTGATCAGTATCGAATTGTGCCTCGTTTTGCCCAGTTCCACTGTTAACATTGTCAGATTGCATACCATTTTGAACTTGATTTTGGGGAGGCGGTGTTACAGTCATTTGGCCATTTTCAACATCATTTATATTTTGTCCTTGGTTCTGTGCATTTAGACCGATTAAAACAACTCTTCCATCACTTCCTCCTACAGTTTGTTCCATTTGTTGATCTTCAAGGACATCTGTATTACCTATGTTTTCATTTGCTTGACCATTTCCGCTGGAGAATTGTGGACCGTTGTCTGAAATAATAATGATGATAATTAAACTATTTGTAATCTTTGTTTGTTTGCTGTATTGTCCGTTTTATTTCTGTATCTTATCGATTGATTAAAAAAAAATAAGAAAATAAGGTTCCAGCTTCCACAGGCAACGTTTGCCTTATAATCATTTTGCTCACTCCTAAATTTTTGTTTGTTCAAAGAGCTTCTAACTAATCGTAGCTATCAAATATTTGAGTTTGAGCTTTCCTAAGAAGGCAATTAGAGAAAAGTGCTTTGGACGCACTATATTTATAAAGTGATTTTTTCATTCACTACAAATCATATTAATCTTTGAAAATAACTATTAAAAATCAAGTTGACTAAGTAAGTTGTTTATTTTACAGTGTATCGTTTTCTTTGTATTATACGATCTCTGACAATAAATTTTTCTGAATTCTTGCATAAATAAATAAAAAGTTGTCCATCATTGAAAATTTTTATCGGATTTATAACAAACTTTTCTAAAATTGTCCGTTTATAAATTTTGAAATTATAAAGAAACTAAGGTTTCAACTCCCTCAGGCAAAGTTGACCTTAGATGAATTTGGCTATTTGTTTTAGGTATTTTTGTCATATAGCTCTTCAATTGTTTCGGTACTTATACATCCCTCGGATTTCAAATGTATGGCATTGAGCGTTCCTGATGAAGGTAAATCCAGAAAAGCGCTTCGGACGCATGAAATTATTAAACGTGTTGTTTTCAATTTTTTTATCCAAACGTATATAAACAAATAATAATGGAGATAATGAATTCATCCTGACATCATCTGGTGAGGAGTTTTAATCACAACTCAAATTACCTTATATTATATAAAAGGTCCTCATTGTCAAGCGTCTGTCATTTGTATTACAGTGCCTTTAACTGTTAATGGCATTTGAATGAATGATGTGATTATACAGTGTACCTCCCTCTGTTTGTTTTGGTTGTTGAAATAAACATTTACTCAGGATGTCTAGTGAGCAACTTCCTGAAAATTCTTTCAAAAATTCGTATCACAATACGAAAATGATAGGATACAAATTCAACAACCACAAATCAAAACATTGATTTGTCTCTTCTAATTCTACGAAATTTGAACATCGGTATACTAATGTCGTTTTTGTTTATCCTAAGTTTTACAGGTATATATAGATAATTTAGCTAATCTGCAATCAATTCCATTTCATAACTAATATATCATGTACTGTGTTACAACTCTAGATTCTACTGACGAGGACAGGTAACACTAGGCCACCGAAAGCTGAATTTTTAGTTCAGTTTAGATAGCCTAGTGGTCTAGAGCGCTGGACACAGTGCAGGCGGTGTTGTCTCGATATCCCAATAGCAGGAGTTCGAATCCCGGCGAGGGAAGAACTAAAATTTGCTTCCGCAAATTTGCAGATTTAACATTGCTGTGCTGATATTTAGAGTAATTATGAATATATGCATATTACCTTTCCTACTGATAAGGACATCCCCTTGTTCTACCCTGGACTTAAGTTTGCCGTGAGTCATATCAATAACTGAAAAAAAGGCATTGGATTTATTCATATGTGGTATGATATGAAGAAACTTTAACTTCAAGCATTGATAATAGGGAAACACTACATATGCATATAGTTGATAATCTCTTTATGCATTGATAACTATATATTTTATTCAACAGTGTAATGGTGTATAGTGTATGGTACAATAATGTATGGTGCATGGTGAAATTGTGTATTGTATAAGTGGGAAGACCGTATATCAACTATGACTATTTCATTGAACAAAACCTAACTTGTAGTATCGTGGCCACTATTAGCAAATAGATATAAGAAGATGTGGTATGAGTGCCAATGAGACAACTGTCCATCCAAGTCAAAATTTATAAAAGCAAACCATTATAGGTCAAAGTACGGTCTTCAACACGGAGCCTTGGCTCACACCGAACAGCAAGCTATAAAGGGCCCCACAAATTACTAGTGTAAAACCATTAAAACGGGAAAACCAACGGTCTAATCTATATAAAAAACGAGAAAGTACTTTAATGTTGAGAGAAACACACATATATATAGACGATGACATTTTTCGAAAGCGGTTTAACTGTATATATTCTTTGATGGTTCTTGAAAATATGTAAGAAAATAATGCATTGGACACCTTTCTTTTTATAAATTCTGACAGAACAACTATCTTCACCACAACATACACACATGCACCACAATGTACTGTATATAAAGTCCAAACATACAGACCACAAGGTAATGTAAGTAGAATCACCACATTCATTCAAATGTACACCAATTTGCTTGCTGTAAACTTCCACCATACACGAAACAAAACAAAATTAAGTTACTTTATCATGCATGTTTATGTAGAATTCAAACATTCACATGATAAGTTAATGTTAGAAAAACACACACGCCATATACATCCACATAGCTCTGTAGATAAACTCTACAATGTAACAAATGCATCTCAAGTTTTGCAGGTAAAAGTACGACAAGTGTTATACAAATAACTGAATATTGTACAAAGCAAATATCTATGTTGGAGCAAATCATCCAGGCAATCTCATAAAAATTAAGGGAACCAGTCAAGACGAAAAAAAAAATATTCATTAGTGAATCATAAAAATAGTAGGGCATTACATGTTTGTCCATGGTTTATAAATTGGAAGAATACACTTTCAACAGTGATAGAAACATATCAAACCGATGGCTTTTAAAGGGGCATTAGCTACGAGATATGAATTTGTTCAATCATTACCGAAAGTGAAATAGTGAAATAATGATTCGCTTTTAGCAACCAATTTGGTTCAATTTTGTCAAAACAAGCTAAGAAATATCGTTGATGAAGTTTTCACTTGTAAAAAATTGAAAACAACACGTTTAATAATTTCATGCGTCCGAAGCGCTTTTCTGGATTTACCTTCATCAGGAACGCTCAAAGCCAAACATTTGAAATCCGAGGGATGTATAAGTACCGAAACAATTGAAGAGCTATATGACAAAAATACCTAAAACAAATAGCCAAATTCATCTAAGGTCAACTTTGCCTGAGGGAGTTGAAACCTTAGTTTCTTTATAATTTCAAAATTTAACAACGGACAATTTTAGAAAGGTTTGTTATAAATCATGTCAGTACCGAAGTACTGACTACTGGGTGATGATGTGTATAATTCGACCTCATTGAATCCGTATTCATGTGACCTTTGATTTAACCTCTTAGCTGGACATGAGTTACGCATGCATAGAGCTATTAAAAAGAAAAGAATGTCAACATTGAAAGTGAAACAAGGATTAACCATTTGGTTGACTGATTTGATCCACAAAAAAATCATTTTCGTACAGGTAACAACGATGATAAGCATTCTTTTTAACCTATAATATGAAATCAAACAGACTAAGAAAAATCCAATTGCACGTGGTCACAATCTGTTTAAAATTATATTTATGTTTATATCGAGTTATATGACCGTCGGCAGTCTTCGGAGGTCATCTCGATGGTTAATTAGATGATGTCTAGACAAAAATACACACGAAATGTTGATACATATTATCAAGTCTATATATTGTTAGTTGTTTATTTTAGCCATTTTGTAATTTGGATATACGTTTTAGTATGTTATAAATCAAATATGAGAATTTGAGTCAAATCGGTGAACATGAATTTGACAGCTAATGCCCCTTTAAACTCAAATAGTTTGTCCACACAAATTAAAATTGGAAAATCAGAATTATTCTCGTGATCACGATAATTGAATGAGATAAAAGTTCACTTGTATCAAAATATCGTAGGTACAAATATTGTGTTAAATGACAAGTATGATAAATTCGGAAAATGTAATATTTTGAGTGATCTATTGCTGTATTTAAATTACAATGTTTTCATTATAACTAACAAGTAGAATATGTTTCTTTAAAATATAAATATGGTATGCATAAAACACATCCTTGGTATGATAAAAAATACATATCTGATTACGTAAAGCCTTTCGTGTTAACATAAATGATGATCTTTTAGTTTTTTCTGTTAAATAATTGTTTGTTGTGTAACCATAAGTTGTCTTTTGAAGACTGTGTAATAGAATTCACATTTAAATGAATCTACACGCCATCAAATATATGAACTTTGTTACCTAAATAGTACGAGGAATACCTTCGCTTCAATAAAAAAAGATTATATGGTACATAACTAACGACAAAATCGGTGGAGATTTTTTAATTTTCATTGGAGTAAATTTTTGTAAAACAAGGGTTTGATTTCATTCTTCAAATACTAAATCTCCACGAGTGTAGAAGTTTATTTGATAAATTTATCAGACTAACTGAGATCTGCAATCAACACCAATTTTATTAAATGACAATTAGAAAAACAATAAGGTTTCTGGCTTTCGGAATACACATTAACTTCCATTGCTTTCTTATTGAACCCCATACCTCCCTTTTAAGGATAAATTCAACAGAAGAGATCGTTCTATGACATTTTGACACATTGTCTTTTGTGATACGTTTCTCAAATTGTGGTAAGAATAATATATATTCTGGAATTGTTTTTTGAAATATTTGGATTTTGATATGTTTTAGGAAATATCTCAAAATAAAATAATCCAATACCTTCCAATAAACAACCAAACATTTAAACGGAAAGACATGCTAACAATCTCAAACTTTGTTCCATGCTGTGAAGTTATGCAGTTATGGAATTTGATAAGACTGTCGTACAAGTGAGAGGTTTAGCGCTATAAAACCAGGTTCAATCCACCATTTTCTACATTTGAAAATGCCTGTACCAAGTCAGGAATATGACAGTTGTTGTCCATTCGTTTGATGTGTTTTGTCATTTGATTTTGCCATGTGATTAGGGACTTTCCGATTGAATTTTCTTCGGAGTTCAGTATTTTTGTGATTTTACTTTTTATTTGTGATAAACAGTCGTAAACAATCAGCCCCTTATATTGATCAGTTGATCCGAAAAACAAAAGGCACATATAAAGGCTAAAGTAAAATATTGTTCAGAAAGGTCTTAGATAGTAGCAAACGACTATATCACTTATCTAAAACAATTATATATGATGGACAAATACCAAGGTTTCCACATAAAAACGAAGTAAAAATTAAAACGTGTACATCATTTCCTAATTTCTATTGTGTACCAAGATCGAATTTAAATTTTAGACATATTTGATTTATTTGGATATGAATTTTACACACATATTGGATTTCCGAATAAGACCAACCTTAATAAGTTTTCACATCATATACACGGTATAAATCATAGGTGAACAATTAAGTATTTTTTATAATAAAATCATAGTTGATAAAAGTATGCATCTTATAAAGACATAAAACAAGTGTTCAGTATATTATGAATGTATACTACTGTGGATTCATTATTATTCGTTGGATACCAATTTCGTGGATTTCGTTAGTACAAGTGAACCAAGAAATTAAATGTTCAACGAATGACAAATTTTCTATAGTCTTGTATTCAGACTTCGGCAAAACTACGAAATTAAATATCCACGAATATGAAACGTTTCCTTTATCTTCGAAAATTGGTACCCACGAAAATAAATGAATCCACAGTATCATTAATTGGTTACTGATGTACGGTGGTATACGTAATGAACAACAACATTTTTAGAAATACGGAATTATTTAACAATTTAAATGCTAATTGGCATTTCCTGTGTGTTTGAATAGGCTATTGTTAAAGGATATATCTGCATGATCTGAAAAATGCTTGGTTTATAGGTAACCATGTAAACAGGATGTTTGAAATGGGTTCTTATTGCTTGATAATTATACCATATGATAGTCTATACAATACTGAATGCAAAACATATGGTGTTTTGTGCTTTAATAAACCGAAAGGAAATTTCCAAATCCTGGTGGCCGGAAATTTATGTTAACCACAATCATTTCCTATATTTTGTGTTGCAGAATATTCATTTTCATTCTGTCTTGGGCAAGAATATTTATATTCAGCCTTTACTAGGCCAGGACGTTCATTTTCAAAATTCTCCCCTTCCCCCGAAAATTAAACTGTCGTCCCCTTATGAATTTTGTGATACAATTATATCATGTGATATGCATTTGATCAATCATTTATTGCTGTCAGGTCTTTTTGTCATTTTCTTTAAATGACTTTCTAAAAGTGCGTTATTATGCTTGTTGATTGTTCTTTTTAAATGTATGTGTCCATTAGATTACTACTGTAAATGTTTGCTAAGTGTTTTTATAAGGTAAAAAAGGTAAATTGAGTGTAAAAGAGGTGACTGCGAATTCTAATTATTTACTTTTGTACTTTCAACATTTATGGAATAATATTCACGGTTCCAAATTTATTGCACCAGATACGCATTTCGGCAATCAATGTTTCGTATGGAATCTTATGTTCCAATTGTCATAACTACAACCCAGTCCCCTTGTCCCCGAATGTGACCTACCAAATTAGACTTATCACCGAATTTGGACTTTCATTAGTTACACGACGAGTGCCACATCCAAAGCAGGATCTGCTTACCCTTGCGTAC